ATGAAAAACAACGGTCTTGTATGAAACACTCCGCAAAGGACGATTCTTGGGTGGATTCTCTTAATGAGCCAAATGCGTCAGAACCTGGAAAGTCCTTTAAATAGCCTAATTAAAAAACAACGGTCTTGTAAATTGAAATAAGAATATTCTTGGCTGTCAATTGCGTCAGAGCATGGGAAATCCTTTGAATAACTAGCCAAAATGAAAAACAACGGTCTTGTAAAACACTCCGCAAAGGACGATTCTTAGGTGGATTCTCTTAATGAGCCAAATGCGTCAGAACCTAGAAAGTCCTTTAAATAGCCTAATTAAAAAACAACGGTCTTGTAAATTGTAATAAGAATATTCTTGGCTGTCAATTGCGTCAGAACATAACCCCGCCTTTGAATAATTAGCCAAAATGGCCTTAATGAGACGGTGCGTTAGAACCTAGGGAATCTTTCGAATATTTGGCCTAAGAGAAAAACAATGACGATATAAGACAAAATAAGGGAATATCAATTGGGACGAAAGTTCTGTTTTCTTCGCCAGTCACAAAATTCGTATGTCTCAAGTTTTGTAAAATGTATATGTTTATATTGTGACAAATAAACTAAACTAAAGTAAACTGAAAAGTTTGAGTTGTACATGAAACTCATAATTACTTCAAATAATGGTTAACTGAATTTTGCGTCTCACCGAGAAAGAAAAAGGCTAATACCCCATTCACACCAAGGCTTAAACATGTTTTAAAGTGGTTTAACTAAACAGGTTTGGAAAACTATCTACGAACACTTCACAATATTTGGTGAAACAATGCATGTAAACTATCCTTTGTCTTGCTCTGACAATATTTTAGAAAGTTTCATTATATTGTAGGTTTCTAGTTCCTCAATTTTTTCCCTAATGAAAACACAGTTTAACTAAACACGTTTAGGTGTGAATGAGGTATAAGACTTAGCTTAGGCCCCCCGTTTCTCCCATTAGGGCTTTTCCTTCTAAAATGTGACTTTAATTAATCAAATGATGGCATATTGTTATTTAAAAAAATTGTAAGTACAAAATTAATTCCGAGTGATTGACGAGTAGGGGAGGAAAGCAAGCCAACGTACCTGTTAATGAGGTGTAGAGTGTTTCGAGTACTTCAAGAGAACCAAGCCGAACAGCCGCATATTTCTTGTTTTCTGTAAACGATAAAGTATTAAGTGAATTAAAAACACTTCCAAATTGACGACTCTTAAAACTCTTAACTCCCAACGAAATGCGAGAGCTCGATAGTTTGGAATTCTTCAAAAGAGCTCTGCAGCGAAAAACATGCAATGGCACCCTTGAATAATTAGTTCTATAAATGAACATGGTTATTTTACATTTTTACGCGTAATTAGGATACATTATTAGTATATAGGTAGATAGATAGGTAGGTAGATATTAGTATAGGTAGACAGCATATATAATTATATATTATTACATATATAAATAGATAGTTATATATTTTTTATTTGTATTTATTGCTAGAATTTTAGCACGCCACGCCTGAAAAGCAGTGTATCTGAGTCGTTAACCGTGGATAAATAAAGTTAGCAAGGAGGTCCTGGATTCGAGCCCGCATACATTGTAGTTTTAAGAGTCGCCAATAGCCCACTTCAGAGGGGTGTAATGTGAGAGAGGTTGGCAGCGAAAAAGTGCAATAAAAATAATTTGCTTTTTTGTTTGTTTTTGGTTTTGTCATTTTTGGGAATCATTAAAATCATATTCGGTAAATAAAGCATACGTCATAAAAACGAAAACGAAAACAACAACAACGACAACAAAACAACAAACAAACAAACAAAAAGTGTTGTGATTGGTTGAAATCATCGCCCAATAACAGTGCCCCGTGCTACTTTTGAGATAAACAAATTGCCATATCTAAAATGGTCACATAATTCAATTATGGATGAGTTCGCTGAGAACCTTTCTTACAATTCAACTTAGGGAAGGAACTATGGATTGTATTTTTAGAAAGACAGAATATACCATGCACTTATAAGCAAATCCACACACAACATACCTAGTACTTCGCACACGGGCGATAGTATGAGGAACTATGGATTGTATTTTTTGAAGACAGAATATACCATGCACTTATAAGCAAATCCACACACGACATACCTAGTCCTTCGCACACAGGCGATAGTATAAGGAACTATGGATTGTATCTTTTGGAAGACAGAATATACCATGCACTTATAAGCAAATCAACACACGACATACCTAATCCTTCGCACAAGGGCGATAGTATAAGGAACTATGGATTGTATTTTTTGAAGACAGAAAATACCATGCACTTATAAGCAAATCCACACACGACATACCTAGTACTTCGCACACGGGCGATAGTATAAGGAACTATGGATTGTATTTTTTGAAGACAGAATATACCATGCACTTATAAGCAAATCCACACACGACATACCTAGTCCTTCGCACACGGGCGATAGTGTAAGAAACTATGGATTGTATTTTTTGAAATACAGAATATACCATGTACTTATAAGCAAATCAACACACGACATACCTAATCCTTCGCACACTGGCGATAGTATTTGGACCAAGATGCTCTCTAAAGTCGATAGAGCCATCTGTTCATCACTCTCCATACTTGAATTGACGTCGCTTGACTGAGGTAACTGCCATTTTAATCTAATCAAAGGTCAATAATATTTGAGTTTTTATAGAATGCGAGTTCACTGTGGGAATAGGCCTCTTTACCTTGGGATTAATGTTTTCCCATTTCAGACAAAGTGTCATTCCCAAGGGTATCATTTCTTTGTTTAACAGTTGTGCATAAGAAGACACATGAATATGGATACAACTCAATAAGAGAATCTTATTCTCAAGAGGATGATTCGTGGTCTGAAATGGAGAAACATTATGCCCAAGGTAAAAAGGTCTATGTAAATTCATCTCGGCTATAATTTAGCTCATTTCTGGCTCAACCCGACCAAAGGCACGCCTGTTTTTGTGCTTTTAAATGAAAGATGACGTCAGTAATTATGTAGGTGTGATTACTTGATCACACATCAGGAAACAATAGACTTATCCCGAATTCGCTTGACTGACCAAGAAACAATGGTTTGAAGTCGAGACTGAACTTGATTCTTTTATTCATCAAGTTCAACCTCGACTTGAAACCATTGCTTCGTGACCAGTCAAGCGAATTCGGGATAGGTCTATTCATTTCATAAATTGGTTTTATGTATGGCTTAAAACACAAGAAAAACTTCTTAGATATTTTAATTTCTTCCATATAGCCACCGTGGATGGTAAATAGTAAGACCTTAACTAGTTTCTGTTCAGAAGACTGCAACAGCCTTGACACCAACAATAGCAACAAGAAAAAGAATGACTCTATTAGCAACAATAATGACATCACTGTCAACAACTGAAAAAGGCACAACAGTAGCAACAACAACAACAACAATGCCAATATCAACAATGACAAAATAGAACAGGCAAGGCACATCAACAACAATAGCAACAACAGTACTGGCAAAAACAACAACAACAACAGCAATAATAATAATAATAATAACAACAACAACAACAACAACACGTCAATTGTAAATATAGTAATGAACAATAATAACCAGATTGAGATACATACAAATTTCAACAAATAACAAACCTTGAAAGGAAAGACTTGTGAGCTCTAAGGACTACCACTTGTACTTTCCACGTGGTCGATGACAAGGCATGGGATAATATTTTACTAAACCTCACTCCAAGTGACTCTACAACAATAAAGATATCAAAACCAGTGAGTTGACCTTATATTGTTATTAGCTAGAGCTAGCTTTTCCCCCATTTCAGATCAAGTGTCACTATCTAAGCGCAGACAAAAGGCAATACAATGTTGCGCGCAACAGGATGGTGTAGGTGCAGGATTGCTGCAACATCGCTTGCAATATTTTGACATTTTGAGCTAACAGGTTGTTCTAAAACGAAAACCGCTGACTAACTTAGTATAGCAGGCGTGGTTATCGAAGGTATTGGAATGATGTTGCGTTACTGTATTGCTACGTGTAACAATTAAAATACTAGGTTTGAAAGCAATGTTGCCCAGTGTGTCAACTGCTTAAGAATGTTACGTGAAACATAGGAATTATGCCCAAGCGCTGAAGATACAGAAAGCGTTCTTCAGAATCTTGTAAAGGGATGTTAAGACTCAGGTCAAACGTCGAACTTCACTTGAGCCGTACGCATTATTGATAGATAATATGGCGGTCTTCTTTTAAGTCATGAGGTTCGACTTATGTGCAGCTCGACGTTTGTATTCGGCCTAAGGTGGCCAACCACCTTGGTTCTCTCCTGTGCTTCGAGGGTTTTTCTCCGGGTTCTCCGGTTTTCCTCCCTCCACAAAAATCAACTTCTAAATTCTAATTCGATCTATCGGTTTCCTTGTAGTTGGGTCCTAGATCCGTAAGGCTTTCCGTTCACCTCAGAGTGGTAAAGTTGAATAAACCACTTGTAGAATGCTAAATAATTGGAACTGTTTGTCAAGTACCTTGAGTAAGAGAACTATTCTTAGGCCAAGTCTGTCCGAGACATGTATATACTGCACCAAGAAGATCTTGGTCTACGATCTTTTCATCTTCTTCCTCTTCTTCCTTTTTCTCTTCATTCTTTTGAGTCTCATTTTGTTCTGCCTCGGTTTCTTCGTCTTCCTTTTTTTCCTTGAAAAAACAAGATACATAAACATAACTACTACGTTAGCTACGAATTACTATAGAATAACTGTTATAAAGCAAGATAAGCTCGCAACGCGTCGTGCTTCTTCTGACACTTATTCTCTTCTCTCTGTCTATCCCCGCGTGTTTCATTACAACACCGGCGCGCGTTCTCTTTTTTTTGTTTTTACCTCTCCTAACACTTTTCTCGTGTTCTGCTAATCCCTGCGTGCTTTATAACTGCACAAAGCACATACGCATCTCTATTTCTTCATTAGTATGGTTTATATTCACCGGATCAATGAGAGGAAAGAGAAGATCGGCTATTTCCTGGAATCTGTCCATGGAATACTCGTCAACAATTTGACCAAAGCACAGCAACGCTGCTTGTCTGTAGGTTGGGTTTTCCTTCTTGCATTCTTTGAATATGGCGTCTACAACCTGAAATCCAAGAAATATGCATTAGATACAGATAATTTCTACTACTAATTCCCACGATAACGAAATTAGAAATGGCCGCCATGTTCGATGACAAATCACATGTCACATGCACCCCTTCCCCCCCCCCCCCCCATCCTTAAGAATTAGACTTGACTGCCATGTTTGATAGCAAATGGCGGCCACTGGTGTGACAGTAAAGACAACAAACAAAAAATAGGCATGTTCGATTGTAAAAACAGAAAGATCTGTAAAATTCATTTTTATAGCCACAAACATATTCTTAAAATAATGTCATTGATTTTCCATTTTTATTTGACTATCTGAAAAATTTCAAAAATCGTGAAAATTCGGCCCAAACCCCAAACTCCAAACCCCAAACAAAACTACGCGTATAGGTACCCCCAATACCTGATCAACCAAATTATAAATGTAGCCGTCCATGTGATATAATATAGATATTGCACATCACATCAAGTAAGTACCTGTTCAATACTTGGTTCTATTGGTGGACTTGAAGACTCCATTGGACTTCTGTGAACACAAACAATTGTGGTAACTGTAAGAAACTGTTTCCTGACAACAACTATATGCCTGTCTGTTCATCCGTTTGTCTCTCTATGTCTGTCTGTTCTGTGAAACTGCCCCTGTCTGTCTCTTACTCCAATAAAGGATGAACATCCAAAACTTCAGTATAGTTACAAAGTTCCCTTCTTATTCCCTTGTTGTATTCGACAACTAGTAACGGCCGCTAGTCTGTCTGTCTTCAAGAGTTCATAAGTTCTGTTTCCAAACGAACTTGAAAAATAATCTTTAAAATTTAAAAAAAGGTTGTTCACCTGCATTCCTTACAAATACTCTTTATGGCATCCAGTAGTGCTTCCTGTAAAGACGAGGAATAAAAATAAATTCATCTTTCTTTACATTATTTCAATGAATTATCGCGAGGACACGCTGTACTAATCTGGTATCTAATTCACGGTTCCGACTCCCCTTAGTTACCATTGCTATGCCCCACAAGCAAATTATCTAGAACATCTCAGAATTTAAAACTCGGATCACAGAAAATTGATTATAAATTGTTTAAATAGTTTACTGTCCTGCAAAAAGAATAGAAAATTGTCTCGTAATCCTTGTAGTACTCTTTAAAACAGATACTGTATAGTTGTTTGTGGGACAAGATCTTAATTCCATTGGGAAATGAATGTCAAACTTACCTTGCCAGTCCACGTCCTTCCTGTCAGTCCACTGACAAGAGAGCCTAGTAGTTTACCTAAATGAGGCTGTTTAAGATTTGACCCTAAAAAGATACATAGCAGAAGTAATAGTCTAGAGTTTATTACATGGAACTTTGCCCTTCGCGAGACATCACCAACAACATGAATGACAACACTGTCTGTAAAAAAACACCTAGAAAAGGCAAGAGCACTTGACAGAAATACCAACATCAAAGTCGTTTTAGTTTCATGTGTAAATAGATATATAGACCCACTCGATGAGTTTTTTGATCTTGGGGTTAATATGTGAATAAATATGTTTAAATAAAAAAAAGTTGGGAATAATGACAACAACAACAGAAGCAATCCCACAATCACCACCATTGTCACCATCTATCAACGACAATAACAACAGCAGCAAGAGAACCATACAACAACAGCATCCACAACATAACCCTCATGTAATACTTATTTACTAACCAAGTTTTGAAGTCATATTAGTTATGGTATTGGCTGCTTGTGCTCTAACAGGCCAGGCTTGTGATGATAAAGCAGGGCATGTGATCTCTACGATCTCGTTCAAGTACAGACGCAGCCCTCCCTCAGTACCTACAGAAAAACAGTAACCAATCATTACATCCTTCTCGGCTTTCATACACTGAATCAAAATATGGCGACCAATGTGAATAATTATTGTCGGTTGTGCACTGAGTAGCGACTGACTAGCGTCGTGTTCACGTGGAAACAGAAAAGCGTTTTCACATGTATGAGATGCTAGTCGGTTTATAGAACAAATATTAAGTCCTTACCACACACTTCATTGCTACGCGCCGCCTTATCAAGACAACACTGAATCGTGACAGGGAAATCGAGCAATACACGGCTGTCAATCAAGAAAAATACCTGGAGTATTTTCGATCCATATTTCTTCCCAAACTGACTCTGAAGACGACAACGAACCATCTGAATAATAATAAAAAAACACGTTTACATAAACCCTTTGATAGCTTTTATTACAGATAAGTAGCTACCGTTGCATGGGATATAATGCGTAGCCACGATTCTCCGTTTTTTTCTTCCTCGACCAAAATCAACTACTAAATTCTACTTCAATATGGAACGAGAGACACAGGCTACTTAGCTTTTAGAGCAGTTTTCGTATGACTGTGAAAAGCTCACGACACGATAACGGTCATGACACGGCAAGGTATACGTCCGACCAATCATAATAATTTACTCTTTATCCAATCAAATGTCCGAAACACGGCTCGGAACACGGCGCGGACACGGTCACGCCAATGTCACGGCACTGTCCGACCAATCACATTGCAAGAGAGAAAAATCCCCGAATCAAAAGTCTAGAAAACAACACGGTCGTGGCAAGGCACGCATACGGCAGCGACGTTTTCACAGTCATACGAAAACTGCTCTACCTATTAAGTGGATAGTACCCTCGGGAAACAAGTAAGAGACACATTTCACTGTTGTAACAGGGCCAGACTCTAAATTGAAGTTTAGAAGTTGAATTTTAAGGGTATTTATGTGTCGATGTCCTCACCAGCTTTCTTTTTCTCATGCATTGCGAAGTAAGCAGTTGGCAAAGCTTTGGTCAGGTGTCTCTTCATGATATCAGGAGAGTAACGAGTCATGGCTTGAAACGTTAAACCACAAGCCATCCGCAATCCTGGATCTGATGAAGGATAAGAATACAACAAAGTTAAGACCTTAAAAATAAGGAAACGGTTACGTGGAAATTCCCGCACCAGCGCGCACATATTTTTTGAACCACGAACGAATTGTTTTTCTTTTTGTCTTTTCGTTATATTTTGATTAAGATCTGATAAAGGTTGGTGAACACAGCCGAAGTGACAAAAACTAATGAAAACCCCGCAAATATAGATATAAGCTCTGTTAGGGATTGGTGCGAGTAGAAGAATAAAATGCCTTGATGTAGACAGGGGGTACTTTTGCTATTCCTTATCATTTATTTTATCGTATATTTTCTGAATTAATTGATGAGGAATTGCGGATCTTTTTTACTGGAGGCATATTTCTCTTAGGTTACAGACAGGAATCCAAATGGACAACAATTACCACATCCTTACCTTCTTTCTCGAAATACCAGTTTTTAATTTTCTGGATTAACTTCTCGACGCTGCTATCTTTTGAGACCTGATGAAAAGGAAAATCTTTAGGTGGAATATTTTGCAAATGTGATCTTTACAGACCAGTCTAACACATGCGAAAAACTGATTGTCGAATAGTTTCCTGATGAAGCATAAAATCTATAATATATAAGGCTTTGGCTGTTGTATCACAGCGTTGGAAATTCACGACTGAGCTAGGCTCCAAACTAGGTTAAAGCCATTTAGAAGTTGACTTTTAATTGGATTTGGATTGGGTAGTGGATTGGGATTTTGGATTGGCTAGTGGGTTTTTTGCTCGGTCTCTGATTGGTCCAAAGGGGAAGCCATTTGGATGCAAGTTATAACCCTCAATTTACATCTCGTATGAGAACACAACCATACCTTAACCATGTGACCAATACTTGTGGCGTATGACTTGCGCACTGACGCACTTCTGTCACTCAAACCAGACAAAAGGGAACTTAAAAGCTTTCCTAATAAATAAAGGTGCATTAAATAAAAGTTAAGAATGATGACGACGAACTAGAAGACGACCGTCAGACACAACTCGGAAACATCGGGTTCGAGTGTCTAAAGTGTGTTTTCACTCACATGAGGAGGCAGCCATATTCATTATTGGTGTACCAAACAATACAAAATTTCTGCACAGTTTTTGCCTAAAAATGGAGTTTATTTCCCCGAGGAAATAGAAAATGAAACAGAAAATGTATTGTTTCAGTACACCGCCAAGATGGCCGCTGTGACGTCACGTAACAAAACGCTCTTTAGACCCCTTGCACTAAATAACAATCAAAGCAATGAACCATATAAACATCAAAAAAGATGCCAATAGACCTATCCCGAATTCGCTTGACTGACCACGAAACAATGGTTTGAAGTCGAGACTGAACTTGATTCTTTTATTCATCAAGTTCAACCTCGATTTGAAACCATTGTTTCGTGATCAGTCAAGCGAATTCGGGATAGGTCTATTCTCAAGAGAAGGGAAGTCTTTTGTTTTGGTGCAAGGGGCTTATCCAACAACCGTCACAAAGGCTTTTTCTTGGTTCCATAAACAGGATGCATCGTAGTCTATCGTTCACTAATATCTACCTGAATATGGTGTGAGATCTTGAGGGCATTGCAGACACAGGGATACCGTGAAACTAGACGAGCCAACCTGCCACAAATAATAATAAAAGTCACTCAGTGTTTGACCACCATTTGGAGCAGTTAGTGAGATTCAAAGAGTTCTATCAACTGAATTTGCCTTATAACGCTATGACGTCACATCAAAACAATCTATTGTTTTAGCGCTAAGGATCATGGTCGCCAGAGGGGGCAAAATAGCAGCAAAACGAATTAAATCACAATAAAAAATGGTTAATTAGACGGGGAAAGGTGATAACAGATAAATGTTGTACTAAATATCCCGAACGAAAGAAAATTTTTACCTAAATTCCTATCATTCTTGCCCATGTAAACAAGCTGTGACGTCATAATGTTATAGGTCAATTGAAGTTAAAAGAGAGAATAGAAATAAACCGACAAACAAAGAAAGGATCGATAGCTAGTCAGGACAAGAATTATATATCATGAACCAATGGAATGAACTTAATAAACTGTACCTTAGTGCCCAGTCCAACGCCTCTGCGTAGTAGATCTGAAAGCCTGGGAACTAATTCTGGTAAAACCGTTTCATCGACGTACTGAACACACTGTCATTAACAAAGAAAATACAAAAATGTTTGTTATGCGGACAAGAATAAGCTATGGCAATTTGGTAATTTATGGCAATTTATTTTACTTCGATAACGCGAGGAGTGGTTGCCCAAATCTCCCGAGCCAGGGGCTCATGTATAGAGCGCTCGAAGGTGCGCCTTTTACCCACTCAGACTATCAGTGCTCCTTATTATGGATATTTAAAGCTAAAGGTACACAGAACATAGAGAAGCCGAAACAAAAGTGGAGATCCCGAGGATCGAACCGTGGACCTCTAGCTCTGAAGGCCGGACACCAACCATGAAGATGATGATGGTAATGTTGGAGGTGGTGGTGGTGTTGATGGTGACGGTAGTGGTGGTGATAATGGTTATAAGTGTGATGATGATGTTAGTGGTAGTGATGATAATGGAGGTGGTGTGAGGATGGTCGTGGTGGTGAGAATGATGATAAAGGTGATGTAGTAACTAGTAATTTTACAATACATATGTTATTATATATTCATTGTTTTAACACTTTATTAGAACACTTTATTAGAACACTTTATTTATTTATTTATATTATTTTTTACTATAGTTCTTATTATACACAGCATCTTTGTAAATCATTCATTACTCAAGGACTTCTGTGTCAAATAAAATTCATTATTATTATTATTATTAATAGTGGTAATGATGAGTAGTGGTGGGATGATGGTAGTGGTGTTGATAATGATAAGGGTGATAATAATAGTGGTGAAGGGATGATGGTAGTGGTGGTGAGATCGAAAAGGTTGATGATAATAGTGGTGATTATGATGGTAATTACGGTGGTGAATGTAATGGTGGGCTGATTAAAACAAAATAATGATACAGACCATCATTCTATCTTACCATGTTAATAGTTTCCATCATGGGAGACATCTTGGAGGCGGCTATACGAGCACTCTCAAGCTGAAACAAACCACGTGAGCTCCACATAAGAAACGAATAAAGACTAGCACCTGAATCCACGATACACTAGACTTTATTGTTTTTCTTACCTTTTCTTGGACGTCTTCATTCTTGTGGAGGTGAAGACTCATGTAGTTCATGGACTGAAAAAAGAAGATTAAACTGAATAAAATGAAATAGTAATTATTCTTTTTTCTTCCGCGTGTGTAGTTGGACCCCCTTTCTATTGTTTTCTTGGAAAGTTTCGCAGAATTCGTATATGAACATAACAGGGGAGTCGTTACAGTGAGGACACTCTAACCATGAACACTTTGTGCTTTTTTACTACTTTTTTTAACATGCATCCCTTGAGTGAATCATTTAGAAATAAGTTGTCTTTTGATCACATAGCATATTTGAGTTCAATCCTACTTTTTTAGAGGGTTTGAAGCAGAAAAAAGCTCAGAAAATAAAAATATCAATAAAGTCAAGTGTTCATGGTTCGAGTGTCTTCACTGTAAAAACTCGGTGAGAAGATGCAGCGCCGTGACCATGACGATTCGTGTTTTAACATTCTGATTGGATAAGACTGAGAATCCTCGCGTGCTGTGATTGGTTGAACATTTAATCTCTAAATAAATCTACTTGAATTGACCATAGTACAACTGCACCAGTCGGTTACGTCACGTAATAAAGATTATAACGTCACGTCACGTCACGTAACTTAAAGAGTTAGAGGTTTATTAGTTTGTAGTAGTAGTAGTAACACTTTATTTAAAGAGGGAACCGTAATTACAGAAAACTGTACTCTCCCTTATGGCCCGTAACAAAAATATAGAGATATATTACAATAATAAAAGTAATTAAACAAAAAATACAAACATCATAAAAGATAATAAATTAGAGGGTAAAATTTGATAAAAATTACAAGCATGTATAATACATTAAAGGTATTCAAGTTTTCAAGAAGGCCTGGACCAAGACATAAATGCAGGCATGCACCACCACGAAACAGTGGTAACAAGGTGCATGTGCAGTGTAACCTGATCCAAGCCTTCCTGAAAACATGATGTAAATACAAATATGAATAAAGAATTATTGTATGACAAGTCGGCAAAGTGTCCAAGTTTTCGGGAGGGTTTGGACCAAGACACATTGCTTACCTGAGGCTCAAGTTCACTGAGTGACTGAAGTAACGCAATCACAAGAACCGATATATGAGGCTTCAACAATGTACCCTGTCAAACAAATAAATGGAATTATTTATAAAGTATTCGCATGCACAGGTGTTCCTTAAGAATGCGGAGGCCTGGGAAGAGTTTGAGCCTTAAGATAAAGAAATAGTGATTCTGGTTTTTACGGCCGCCATGTTGGTTAAATTGCAGTGAATTGAACAAAGGTTTTAACATTGGTCTCTTTGCCACATCAACCAACATGAAACATAGTTTCATTCACTTTTGGATGATGGTAAACCAATTATTTAAATCAGGATTACGATATCACTATAAGACTAACCGCATTTTTACTGATTTTCAAAATGGTCGACAACCTAAACAAAAAACAAAAAATATTAATAACAAGCAATAAGAATAGGAAAACAAAACAGCTATAAGTGTTTCCTAAAAAAAGAAGGCTGAGGGAAAGCGCCAATGACTCACAAAGAAAGAAAAATAAAGTTTTTCATGGTCTTTTGGGAAAAAAACATATTTAATTTATCTTATAGTTGATCTATAAAGGTTTTGCACCATCACGTGATGGTAGCCATGTTAGATGGCAGGAACAATACAATCGTTTGAAATCAGAAAGAATTCAATTCACGAAAGCACGTGATGGTAAAAAAACCTCTATAGTTGATTTTAACTGTAACCTCCACCACGCTTCTCTTCCTCCCCAGCCACTCTCTTCTCTCCACAATGGCCGGACCCTTCTCAAAAGTATCGTGGATGCGCGACTAACATGAAAATACAAATGAAATCACAATTTTTCTGGATGGGATTTATGGCATTTCTTTTTGTATTTCCAGTTATTCTCGGATTCAAGTCAATTTTAAATAGGTGCAAACCTCACCAACATGAAACTATTCTCTACAGGCTAAATTGCAACGGAATTAATCATGCAAAAACCAATTCTTACGCGATGGCTCTGACTTCTTCTGCACTGCTTCCAAGCCCCTTATCAAGAAGAGTCGGCAGGACCAAGGCTATCGCCTTCTCACCGATTTTACCGTGATTGACGTCACAAATTTGTATTGAAACCTGTAAAATGTAACAAGATATGTGATGAACATTAAGTATTAACTATAGACCTTGATCACACGGCCCCATGTTTACTACCATAAGAATAAAAATCTTTGTTTAAACTTGCATAACCATGTCCTGAAGCGTTTTATTGCGAGGCCACGCGGGGGAAAATCTATGGTTCAAGTCAACATGGCTGAAGCGGCAAACTCCAAGCGCCAAGCGACAGCAAAGTTGCTAACCAAAGACAGGTGTAGAATTGGCTGAAAGGAAAGTAATTTTCCAACACTATACCTTGCTGAGTCTTCTGCACGCTGCATCAGCGGCTTGTCGCACCGTTTCCTGAAAAGAAAAGAAGAGTAACGCAGCATTAAGATCTCAACCCTTTGATAAGCTCACAACTCATAGTAAGCTGCTCGGTGCGCTAGTTGTGGAAAAGCTGGAAAAATCGTGCGACCTTCCAAATCTTGGGAAATATTGGAAGACGCGACTTCCAACATATTTCTGTACCATGGAAGTTACAAAATCATGGACCAATCAGGGAAGTCAGCACTTCCATTCAGTGGATATTCTGAAAAAATACAAGCGTCTTTTTCGGGGGAAAAAGGGAGTGTTTTCACCTTTATCCCGTCTCTTGCTCGTAGACACAGCTCCCATAAACGAGGCATGTAATCTAGAACATCTTCTGCTGAACGACCACTGAGTAGATCACTGACTGCCATACAACTGAAGCAATAAAAACAATTGAATAATCAATAAAAATATCAATAGATATATAGATGAAAGGATTAAGAAATATTATAAATACGAAAAAAAAAATCAACAAAAAACAAATACAGAAAAACAAAAAACAAAGCTAAAAGAAAACAAAGGGAGAAAAACGACAAAAACAAAAAAACAACGACAACAACAAAAAACTACAAAAACACAAAGAGAAAAAAACTGAAAACAACAAACGAAAACAAAAACAAAGTAAACTAAACAAATAAAAAACGCAGAACAACAACAACTAAAAGCAAACAATCAGAAAAACACTATGGCCTACCTTGATTGGCGTACCCTCCATAAGTTACTATTCAAATTCAGAACTAAATCTTTTAGAATTTCTTTGAGGTATTTATCAACCTAAGATAAGAAATAAGAAAACAATGTAAACATACCAGAAAAGAAGCAAACTTTACCACTAAACTGTCTTCAAAACGAGTTAACAATAATGCTGGATTTCAATCATCAGATGACAAATGTGTTTGAATCACATTAACGTCTCCAAATGGTTGTCAACAATGACCACATGTGCTGTCAGCCAGAAAGAACTCTATTGAAAATGTTTGAGCCAGGTGATAAAAACATTAACAAGAGACAGAAAATGACGTCAAGTAAAGACCAACAATATAAAAGTTTTATTACCGTCTTTTTCGATTCTGGTACAAGAGCAGCCCAAATACTAGACATGGCTTGTTGGATCTTCACGTTTGGATCGAACTGATACCTACGAATGAGCAAATAAATAACTAAGAAACATATCAAGTACATTGTTTTACCAATACCTTTTGGTTTACTGAAAGCATAAAAGATAGGTTCAACTTTGAAAAAGGGCGTAGCCAGGTAGGGGGATGCCAGGGAGGGCCAGGGACACCTCTTCGTGGCAACAAAATGGCAGCTTTTAATTTAGATTTTATATGGTAATTTCATTTTTTTGTTGTCGTTGTAAAAATAAAATGTAATGCCGGTTTTTATATTATTTATTATGAAATAAAACGTAAACCGAAAGCTTTTTCTTTTTCCTACCTGTAAAGTTTTGGAATAATCTTTGGGAGATGAGGTTCAAGTTGTTCTCTTGAATGAGCGGCTATAGAGGTGAAACCAAAGGCAGCACCCTAAAGAAAGAAATCAGTACAGTCTTATTATGACACTCGTATGTACCGTATTTCCTCTATTTCGCCCCCCCCCCCCCTTTCTAAGGCTAATGTCAAATGTCGAACTTCACATGAACCGAACCTAATGACATCACAGAAGACCGCCTTGTTATCCATTGCTTAAGTTAGGTTCGGCTCATGTGAAGTTCGACGTTGGAACTGAGTATCGGCGTGGTTTGAAAGCATCGAAAGTAATTCAGTGTTACAGAATCTCATTCTTACTTTACGGGAGTTCCAAAGAGCATCATGGTTAGCCAGATGCATGAACTTGTAGATCAGGTCTGGCTGGTTGAGATCACTAGCCAAGGAACATAGCTCTTTGTACGTAGAAAGACCGCCCCTACAACAAGAAAAGAAAATGACCACAGGTAAAATACAAAGACCTTTTCTGACGGAGATGGCGAACATAGTGCATTGTGGCATAGCTTGGGTACAAACACCTTTTCTTCATCAAGCCTTCTTCTATAGTTGTCTCAAAAAAAACTTTCACATCTTGTCGAGTCGTGAAACAACCTTTGGATTTATGACTGCGTTTGTACCCAAGATAGACCAGAATGCATATTGTTTATCGAATTGAGAGAGGCCTGTAACGGTGTCCCATCTCATTAGAGTGCCAGAACTTTAACAATGCTAAGTTGGGGCAACTTGCCATGGGTCAGGCTATAAATAAAGCCGTTAAAGGGCACCGAAGCGATGCGCGAAGCAGAAACGAGCTGTGGAGGCATGGATCGTTCCTGTCGTACGCAACGTCGTATCTTGAGTCGGCCCCTTTCAACCTCTCTTTTTCGAGCTAAAAAATCGATTACCAATCGGTCGCATTCGACGTGAATTATCGACTATAGACGATTCGGGTCTAGCTGTGAGTCTGTTGGTTAAAAATAAGCGTCACCTGATTGGCTCATACGAAAAATAATGGATAACCTCACCCTCCTTCTGGTGCTTTACCCAGCTCTCCTTCTGCGAATACTTGGGTCTCGCCTGTAACTTGCATTGCCTGCCTAAAAAAACACACACAAACTCAAAAACATGATAACTATATATAGATATAACATCAACTGTGATTGGTTAAACAATGTTTGAAAGTAAACATGACGTCATCTTTTGTTTAATTCCACCAGCATAGACCTTTCCTAAGATAGCGAATATGTTCTAGTTTCGGTACAAACATCTTTTGTTCGACACGCCTTACATGGTGTTGTTTGTACCCAATCTAGACCACAATGCACCATGCTTATCGAACTTAGAAAAGGTCGATGAGCTTGGGTACCAACATCTTTTGTTTATCACGCCTCAAGTTATATGGTGATGTTTGTACCCAAGCTATACCACAATGCACCATGCTTATAGAAATTGGTATTAAGGTCTATGAGCTTGGGTACACACGTCTTTTGACCCTCATGCCTCAAATGGTGGTTTTTCGTACCCAATCTATACCACAATGCATCCTGGTTATCGAACTGAGAAAAGGTTTATGGCGAGCGCAATGAGACAATAATGCACAAGTAACGAGTTCTAGATTGTTATGTTCTGTACCTCCTCCCTGTGGTGAGGGTATCCACCAGTAATGACACCAGTTCCTCTCGTCTTTCCTCTCCACCCAGTTCGTATACTAGACCCAGGCCCTTGGAAGCGACTTCTTGGGTTAAATCTGTAGAACAAAATAGTAGTTGTCCAAATGAGAATAAAGGGCGCAATGATATGAATGTGGGTAATTAGCCACCATTATCAACGGGCACAAACATTACAGACAACAGCAATACCAACGCTATTATTATTATGCATAAAATCAGGGGGCTTACCATTTCAAAGAATCCATCTGGTTGGAAATTCGTTTGCTAATGGTAAAAAAGAGCGGGAAACATTTTCTTCCAAAATATGGTACACGCGTCTACCGGAAGAACCGAAAAGGGCGGGAAAAGTGGATTACCTCCATCGGAAGACCGAGTTTCCAGTAACTTTTTGATCGGAATGATACATATTATTTGTTTTCCAACCGGAATTTCCAGTTTTTCCATGTAAATGGTAAGCATCCCAGTATCACTAATTTCATTATTATTATTTACATCACTCTCATGTAAAAGCATCAGCATAATCACTACCATCACCAGAGCTGCCATCAATAGTTATATATTGTAATCTTCGATACCATCATCATCATTATAAACAACAACAACATCGCTATCATCACCAATACTTATATATGCTAGCATAACATCTCATCATCATTACTCATCCCATCATTATCAAAAACAAAACCAAAAACAACAATAAAATTTCATTAAAAACCACCATTGCTTAGCACAAAAGCAAAAGCAACGTCAAATTTTCAGTAAACAAATAAATGAAAGTTGTTCACGCACTTACCATCTAACTCGGCCAAAAAACTCATGAACGTCATTTGAATTCGCCTCAAATCATCCTGACACAGAAACATAACAGTTTTAAGTTTCTTTAAGATTGATTTTAATGAGAGAAGAATATTTTTTAAAAATAAGCCAAATTTTCAAGCTTCGGGGGAAGAAAACTACAACGAATAGGTCGTTTGCATGATGGCGTCATTATTCAGATTCGTATTTAGGCATAAAAATATTAAGACAATTGGTGCTAATTAACTGAACAAAAGAAAGTGTGCAATGAATGCTGGTAGTTGCAGTTCATGACGTCATAATGCAAGTGTCATACTATATAACAATCATACTTGTATTGCTTGATGTTTTCCAGAATACTTGACAAGGGCCAGTAGCCACACGCAGGATGCCTGAAACGAAAAAGATGTATTTAGTTTCATGGTTCTCTTGGAAAAAGAGTCATATTAATAGCGATAAGAAAGAACTGGGGTTGATTTGGATTCTTATGATTTATAAAGCGCTCTTTCTATATAGATAATCAAAGGCGCTTTACATTGAGTCGTGAAAGTCACATTGCTTTTTATGCAATTTACGGCCATGAGATATGGTTAGTATGAGGTGTAGGTACTAAGGGTATTCACTGCCTTCTGTACGTCCTCAGTGGTTCTTTTGCGTCACTCCTATTGGTGGGTAATGCGGATGACATGTGGAGAGACGTTACCGTCATTTTAAGTGGTCATCCGTGCATAAAATCTATAATCTCACTTACAGAGGCAGTGGGTAGATGGTAACGCCGTCCTAAATATCGTCACGCAACGCTCCCTCCCCACTACTTAGAGGAGGCGTTGCGTGACCAAGGCAATTTAAGGTGAATTTGATTAACCATATTAACTCTGGAAGGTTGAATATTACTGACGTAAGGAGCATCGCGCGGTCGCGTTGTTGTTGGTATAGTACAAACAAAGCCAAGTACGGAACGGCCGTTAGAAGTAACGCTCATAGGCTATTCAAACCGTTTGACCTTTGGAATGAAAACGTCTGCATTACAACAGCGAACGAAGGAACACGGACACAAGATAAGTAAACAAGTATAACGTTAATTTAATTCCAATAATCGAAAGGAAAAAACTATAGAAATCCAACCACATTCGGTGTCCTAGTGCCCTTAGCGTGACGACACAAAGAACGGCTGGAAGAAAGACTACCTTACCTGTCTTGCGTATGGAATGGGATTTTTCGAATACTTGGTAACGATCGTCTCGATAAGATTCTTCATGACATTAGGGTCGACTTCATGTGCGGCAGAACTGTTGTGTCGTATGGTCCATGGGTCACGTGCTGCTTGGGAGAACATTCCTGCGCCTGCGCACGACAGGGCTTCACCTACTGTGAACTGTAACTCCACTTGACGAATCTAAAACACATTATTATACATTCAGTTATTCCCTATCTCGCTTGTGATTGGTCGACAACATTCAGCCAATCCCTGATGCTTATAAAAAGCACCTCCAATATGAATATGTGAACGTGAAGGAAACTACACGATCCAGATATGAATTGACGACCTCTTTAAGAAAGAATGTTCCCGATCAGAATGCTTGGACATACTGTCAATGGTTAAGGCACCACACGTCTGTATTGTAGTTTATTTTTAGTAATATCTTAAATTAAAATCATTGCAATGGTTTGTGTCTGTAATGGTGATGATGATGATGATGATGAAGATGACGATGATGATGAAGATGACGATGATGATGATGGTGGTGATGATGATGATGATGATGATGATGACGATGATGATGATGATGATGAAGATGACGATGA